CTGTGTAATGACTTATGCAGCAGCATGTTTTATTCTGACACATTTTTTTAGTTTTAGAAGTAGTGTAAGGATGCAAATATCTGATTTTTCTTTTCTTTTTTTTGGATAAGCTGTGAAAGCTACAACCTAAAACAGTACTTAACAAATTTGTTTGTCCACTGCCCGATGTAAGGTTTATTTTTTTATGTATTTAGTGGTTAATGCTAAAATATAATTATTTTAGTCATCCATTCATTTTCAAATTTAGAGTAATAAAGCACACTATTATTTTTTTAATTAGAATCTCAAATTACTTATTTTGCTTGCATTTCCTGAACAGAACTATTAGTTTTTAAAAATATTATACTTGATTAAAGTCTTGTGTGCTGGCTCAGATTTGGGAATAAAACATTTGTTACTTACCTGATAAATAATAATACAATTTTTAGTTTTAAACAAGTTTTTTACAGAATTCTAAAATATGTGTTTTCTTGTTTTATGACAGGTTAGGCGCTGTAACTCCTTACCTGTTTGATATTCATTCTAATTTCTAATTTTCGAATTTCCACAGTACGTCATATTTTTGGTACAGTACATTTTTTCCCTTTGTAGTTCTAAAATTTTCATTTGAAGCTTTTGGCCATGTCGTAAATCTCAGGTTTGTATATTACCTCGCATTGTACTGGAATTACTTTATTAACTGAGCATTTCAAAACATTATCATCATGACCATAAATAAGGGAATCTAATCTAATGTCATTGCTTACAAGAAGTGATCAAAATGCTCTGCTCATACAAAAAAATTATTTAAATTTGGCCAATCATACCTTAAAGAGCAAAGCTGTTTCCAGCATAGTTGTTTTTAGATCACTCGCAAAAGTCTGTTCTGACAAATTATACAGACACAAGTTTGCAATTTCACCACGAACCTTAAACTGGCACGAAATGTGAACAACATCAGTGTCAAAATGAACAGACTTTCACTTAGAGGATCATATCGATGACAGCTGGGTCTGAGAGACCAAGCAGCTGTTTTCAGAGAAAGAGTCTATAATGTTCGAGCCCAAAGATAAGTGTGCGCAACTTTTCAATTGACATTGCTGGAGAAAGTGCTCCTTGAGACTTCCTCCTCTTCCACAAAATGCTAATTGAAATTCAAGATGAAGGGTTTCTGTTTTGACACACTGATGGGGACATTGAACGTGCACTGCAGACTAGTGATTAGTGTCAAAAGTAGCAGCTGGAAATGTTACAGAGCCGCACAAGTAACAACCTTCAACAGATGCACTTTGTGTATATGTTTATATACCTAATATATCTCAATTTTAATTGTACTACAAATCTGTGAAAATGCTCTACTTTTCTTAATTTGAATCTTGTTATTGGTACATGGTTATTGCAAATAATACAGTTAATAAAACCAAGAATGGAAACATTTACGAGACGTATTAATAGTTTCATCTAAGTCGACTCTGATTAGGCTGACCTGAATTTTATACTGAAATATTTTCCATATTAAAATAATTATAAACTGATGAAAACATGATTTAATAATTTATATGCATTTCCAATAAACAGATATATTTTCTTAACTGGCTTACTTTAAGCTGCTCTCAAGGCTATGGGAAATTATTTCTGGGACTACAGCTCTTTAACTATATTGGTATTCTTCATCTGCCAACTGCTGCAGCATATGGAGCCAAATTGCCCACGTACCCCGAGGAAGATTTCCAGCACAAACATCCTTCCATAAATGTTTCCTACCAAAGTTATTTAAAGGCCATGAGTGTACAGACAATCATACATATAGGAGGAATTCACTTATTTATAATGATAGAAAGTCTACTGTAATTCATAACTCTTCGTGTGTTTTTCGCTAGCTTCCATGTACATGCGGCATTGGCAACCCCGATGAAATGATGATCGACCCCCAGATCACTGGATATGGGTCCACAGATGTCAACATCACAGGAAATTATGGGTTGCCAGAAAACGGGGGCCGCCAGGAACGAATTTTGGCCCAAGTGGCACTGAACGACCCACAGATCACAGGCCAGGTGAAGGCATCTAGAGGCTACGTGAACATCTGGATAGACACCCATGCCATAGACAAGTACTCAAGGGTCGTCTTTCCTGGAGCCTACATCCTTTTTAACATCATCTACTGGTCCATCTACTTGTAACCTATGATGCATGAAATGCTGTTTTGTGCATGCTGGGACAGCAGGGGCTCAGCTCAGGAAAGATGATGCTACACTTGAAGTGTTTGGGACAGAGAAACTGCGCATGAGATGCATGGGGACCACTAACAGATTGGTGACCATTGCCTTCTTGACCCAGCCACTTAACACCGATGATTAAAAAAGAAACATGAGCGACCAACTAACAGGACAGTCATCGATAGTCACTTCATCAGTTCTCTGGTTTCTGCTGTATCTATAGTTCTGGTGACAGAAAGATGTCTGAATGCTGTTGTCGCCTGAGGATGCAGAGATGCACGTACATGGACTTGTGTCACTCTTCAGGCTAACTACTTCTAGTTCTAGATGCAGTGACTCCAAGCACACTTTCAACACCGAAAGTGTGAACTGAAAACATACTGACATTGGCTAGCATTGCCAGCAAATAGACGGATCCTTTTTCCTCTTCTTATGAGCTACACCTGACAATCAATAAGAGACTAAAAATATTTAAAGGTTTAATTTAACATGTTGAGAAATATGTTTGTTTGTTATATAGCGGCGAGAAACTTGATACCACTCTCATACTTGTAATTAAATATATGGCTAAATCCAGTAATAGCCAGTTAGCTTAGCATAAAAACCCTAACCAGGTTAAACAGCCAAGGTACTTGTTTCCGTCCAGCATTTCTATAATAACTACAGCAAGTTATATATTTTGACTGAATCCATACAGAAACAACCATAAAAGCCTGGTTTTATAGGGGGATTAGTGCTACTATTTCTCTACCGGTATAAATGCTTAGCTAATACTCAGAAGTCCTACTATTTTTCTAACGGTATGACTGCCTAGCTAACGCTCAGAGGCAAGAAAGAGTCTGGCAATTAAATTCCCAACAGAATGTCAATTTTTATAAAGATTAAAAAAACAGATTACATCTTGTTAATTAGTCAGCCTTTGAGGTGGTAGTTGGCAAATTTCGCCCAGCTGCTTCCCCCTTTTCCCCAGTCTTGTGTGCTCAGCTCAGCCGTCTCCTGGCTAGACCTTCATAGTTACTGCAGACATGAAAGTGATATCACCACACTCTCCCAACTCTGCACGAAAGCAAATAAACATCTGAATGAAAGTAAATGTTTTTATTTTTAAAAAAAGGCAAATTCAGAGCTTATTCTTGAAGTTCCACGTTTTCTTTGCAGCATGTTAATATGATTCAGTTTAGCTTCAATTTTCTTGTGAAATTTGTATCAATGCAGTTATTTTGATGTCAAGCTACTGCGCTCCGTTTGTGTGACTTGACAACGTTGAGTAAAAAACGCAAAGTAATGCAGTCGATTAAAACAACAAATGTAAAAATGTATGTTTAGAAGTCCCATGCACCGACTATGATATTAACTCTTTTTATTTTTTAATGTTTCTTCTTTTTATTTTTAAATACAACTGAAGCTCATCTCCTCTGTTTGGTGTTGTGAGGCTTTGAGGTTCGCTGTGACCTGTTAGTTGCTAGTTTTAACGTCTTTTTCAGCTTAAAAACAACTTTATACTTTGTTAGGCAAAAGATATTTTAAAAAAATATTACAGGTATTTAAAACTGTCATGTATGGGAAGATGTTTAATAAATGTTTTGGTTTCTGAAAATCGGAGCTTGAGTGCTGAACATCGTAGAAACAGAGAGATGCTTAAAACCTAAAACACAACACTTTGGATCATTTGAACACAGTTGATCCCTTTATTTTAATCACATTTTTCTGCTCACTTACACAGTATATTTAAACAGTCCTGGAGGATAAGCCTTTACTGTTATTAGTCACTGGGTTGCTCACAGCTCCAAGGTCTTTCTTCTCGCTCTGGCACATGTCTGAGTGCTGATGAGCATTTAAAACAAATCATATACACTGCGTATTATGTAATGCCATTAACCACTCACGTGTCTGTAAAAGGATATATACATATACAATTACATTAAGGCTTTCCTCACAGAAAAGTGAGAGAGTGGGATATGCTGAAGCATGTTTTTGTTGTTTTTTTTGATCCAAGCAACATCCCGAAGGTGTCAATTTAAACTTTGTGCACCATCTTCTAATCTAGTGAAAGAAAATGCGAACAAAGGCATCACCACATCAAAGCTGGCAGAAAAGGATAAAGCATCAAAAAGATGTCCATAACCTGATTTTCCACCACATCTGGGCCCACTCTTAAGAGCCAAGATTTTTTATCAAGCTGTGTAGCTGATGAAAGTACGCCTAGAAATCTCAATGACTGAGAGAGAGGTAGTATGATCATGCAATCAAGTACAATAGGGCTACCCGTGGATAGAGTAATACATTTAGGGTTGATTTATTTAGAGGTTTGTGGTGTAAAACTGTGAGTGTATGCCAAACTCATCATCAGTAAATTCATGTTGTCCATTACCACAGACTAGAAAGATATTAGATGCCTTCATGTGTTCCCTGTTAAACTCACGATTGAATTTAAAATCCCTCTCCTCACATGCAAAGTCCTTCATATCTTAAAGAAGTCATAGTACCATATTGTCCTACCAGAGACTTGTGGTTCATAGAGTTTTAAATGTAGAATGGGAGGCAGAGTCTTCAGCTTTCAGGCCTCTCTTCTGTGGAACCGGCTCCCAGTTTGAATTTGGGGGACAGACACCCTCTCTACTTTTGAGATTAAGCTTAAAACCTTCTTTTTGATAAGGCTTATGTTTAAGGCTGGATCAGGTGACCCTGAATCATCCTGTAATTAAGCTGCAATAGGCTCAAGCTGCTGGAGGAGTTCCAATGATGCACTAGGTGCCGAGGCAGGCCGTGTGAGAATATAAACGGACCCAAGATGCAGACTGCTTAAGTTGTGAGCGAGCTTTATTACCGTAACAAAAGGGTGAAACAAACAGGGACAAGGAGGAGGAAGAAAACCAAAACCTAAGAATGAACTAAACTGGGAAAAGCTACGCAAAAACAAACCTGAAACCTTGAGTCGAGAAACAGAGATGCAGGGAGAATACACGAGAACATGGAGGGGAACAACACAGACGAACCAGCAACGACTAAGACAGAAGACACGACTGAAAAACACTCAGAAAACACAGGGAGATTACACACAGGTGAGGGACACAGCTGGGAGTGATTAACGTGACGAGACTAGGGAGGCGAACTGAAAACACTCACATAAGACGCAGACCTTCACAATAAAACAGGAACTTACACATGCAAGGACACAGACTAAGAAACGCGGACTTAATACAGGAACACACGGGCAGGACAGAGTAAACACTAAACAGAGGAAGAACAGAACCAACAATCACACTAATAGAAAACACAAAACGCTGGGTCAAAAGGACCCAGGACCATGACAATCACTGCCTTCCAGTCACTTCTGTTTCAGTTTGGCCAGTCTAAAGTCGTCTCTCACTTTCTTAAGCAGATCAGGACAGCACACTACATCCACAGCTGTCATAGACAGGGCCTTGGCTGTCCTCAGGGTGTACAACTGGGCCTTTTCAGCTCCTGGCAGAGTAAGAAATATAAAGCACAGAGTAAACATGAAAGAGATGATGGCTAAATTTCCCTTATCACAGTCTGATTCGGTTTAATTATAAAACATCAGTGCCAAAATACCTGCTGCTTCGGTGTATTCCTCCGTATGATTTAATGCATCAGTGCAGATGTAGAAAAACGGATGAATACCAGGGACTATGAATGACACGTTGCCAAAGTCTGTAGAACCTGCCAGGTGATTAAAATTCACTGTGATAGTGGTTCAGTGTCGATTCAGTGAACAACAATGCTGAAAAAACACTAAATCACAGTTCTGCTGTTAGACATTTTGTCATATACAGTTCTTTTGCACAGAGCAGGGACAGAAGTGATTTATAATATTGTCATTTATGCTTACCGCAGAAGCTGGCTGTCTGCTCTGGAAAATGAATTCCCAAAGCTTTTCCATTGCTTTCATACATGCTTGCCAGTGTGGCATTAGGTAGAATGTTATAGTAGGTAGGGGTTGGGAAGGTGATCTCCACCTAATGAAAATGCAAGTAAATGTAAGACCATAGCACATTTGGCCTGTCATGTTTAACAGCACATAAGGCCATGCATGCATAGTAATGTAAACTGCCTGAAGCACATGCAGACGAAGGAGAAAAGGAGCCTGAAGATAATCATGAATTATGTAACACAAGTTCAGCACTTGGACAGTAATTATGGAGATGTGGTAAAAAGGGGGATTGTTATATAACAGCAGTACTCTCTAGCACTGCTGTATCAACATAGACTGCTTCTACATGTCTCCAACATACAGGAAAGCAAACTGAAGACGCTTTTACATAAACATACTTGGCAACCGGTTGCTCCGGCAGCTGCCCTGAAGCAAGCTTCAGCTTTAGCCTTCAGGTCACATAGGTCCTTGAGCAACGGGACGCGCAAATAAAACTCTAATTCAGTGTATGCAGGGATAATGTTGGGCTTCTCTCCTCCGTGTTTGATGATGCCTGTAGCAAAGACAAAATCAGAACGTCAATAATTCAGCAGCTCACCCGGCTCATGATCAATCTGTGATACAGAAAGAAAATCATAAGTTGCCTTGTCTTTGGGGGACTGCACTGCACAAACTAATGAGTATTAAAATCCACTGACACGTCAAAGACCAACAATTGTTTTAGAATGGTTTGTTCCAAAGACCCCACTGAATTTGGGCATTGTGCTGTAACAGGATGCACCAAGTCAGTCTGTGAATTTTTTTCCCCTCTTAGATATGTCACAATCAAATTTAAGAAGTATTATTGCAAAGTGGAAACGTGCAGAAACCACAGCAGCTGAGCCATGAAGTGTTAGACCACATAGAGCTACACAGCAGGGTGCAAACCTCTTCTGGCATTAAGATCAGTACAAAAACTGTATGCTGGGAGCTTCATGGCATGTGTTTCTACAGCAGAGAACCTCGTGCAGCTGTAAAGTACATGTAACTTAGTACTATGCATGATATAATATGCATATAGTCAATATAATGCATGTGAACACATCAGCATATGATAGTATAAACCATATTAATGATTCTAGGAGAACTTGGCGAAATTATAAGCAGTGTGCATGGAGGTTATCGTATGAAAATGGAAAAACACCTTTAAAACGACAAACAAACAACAAACAAAATTTAGTTGAAGACCTATCAGGTGATCATTGTATGAAAGTTCTGACCCCTACTGAAGGAGGCGTACCTGTTCCTGTGAATGTGAATGGACAGACAGATAATGATGAGCTAGCTATCGGCTAGATGAACTAATAAACTATGAGGAAGTAAAGGAGAAGGAGGCACCTGACGGCACTGAAAAGAGGAGGGTTTTATTTTCCTTCCGGGATTTGTGTCTCCTCCTAGGATGGATCAAAGATGAGATGCTCGTTTTCTCCAAGGTCGACACTAAAGTCTGAAGCTTTAAGTGACCCTACCACAGCTTTTCCTCACCATGAATCCTCCAGTCTGGTTTGAGCTGCTGTCTGAGTACAGAGATGTTGTTATAGGCCAGGACGGCCGCATCCAGGGCATTCACTCCCTCCCAAGGGTATGCAGCTGCATGAGACGCCTTCCCATAGTACTTCACTAACATCCTGTGTAACATCAGCACGGTCGGTTAAGAGTTCCCGAAAAAATGTGAAGGTTAGGTGTTCGTTGTGAGAGATTAAGAGAGAAGTAAAAGAATTTGAAATGAAGCAGTGAAGAAGAACTCACTCTTCGATTATGATGCAAGGGTGAAACGAAGCATCCTGCTGAGCTGGATGAGCCATGAAGACAAGATCAATATCAGCAAAGGCCCCGGCATTGATTAGCTCAATCTTTCCTCCTAACGCCTCCTCGGCAGGAGTTCCCAGAACAGTTATCTATAATAAAGAGTAAAAGAATATTTTAATGTCAGGTCTGCTCACTGGAATGTTAGTTTCTTTTTCAGTAGATGTGAGTTTTCATCAAAACAGAAACGCTTTTAAATAAAGACTGGAGTAACAAATCCACTCCCCCTACACGAGACCACTTTAAGACATTTAATCATAACATATTCTAAAGATAGAAGTTTCTTTCCTATTATTGAAAAAATAAAAAATGAGACTAATTATTCACATCATATTACATTTGTTGCACTTGTTGAGTCACAGCAAACAGAGCTGGGGATTTAAAGGAGTGCTTGGGATTTTTTTCAGCTTCACAGTGTGTCGCACTCGGTTTTCATGGTGTGACTTGTTTAAGTCCGTTAAACCCGGCGACAGTTACCTTCACAGGCACCGGGAGCTCGGTCTGGTTCTCTAAAGCAGCCTTCAGCCCCACAGCGGCCGCAGCGCCCACCTCTGCTATCAGGTTGTGCCCGCACGCGTGGCCGATACCCGGGAGGGCGTCATACTCGCACAGGAACCCCACGTTCAACACTGGGTCTCCCACCCCTCCACCAACTGGACCCCAGCTGGCCCTGAACGCGGTCGGAAGTTTGTAGTGACTTTGGACCGTCCATGTCTGGTCCTGAGAAAAGAAGCGGACAAGCCGGTCGTGCGCATGTTTCTCGTTACCGGCGACTTCAGGATTGCTCCAAATGTCTCTACTCAGACTGTGCAGCTCGTCTTTGTGTGCGTCTATGCACCGCTGCAGGTCGTCCTTCATCTGCTGTCGTTTCTCCATATCGCCCGACAGCATGTAGGCGTTAGAGCTGGACTCCTAAAAACACAGGAAATGTATCCCAGTGAAGCATTGATGTGCTTCCCTCTGCTGGCTGATCAAAGGCCGTGTAGCCTACATTTAAAATGAATTTGCTCTCGGCTGGTGGTAGATTGGATCACCCAGAGGGACGCGCCGTCCGCTGTGGCTTCACATGTCCTAAATAAATGAACGCAAACAGGTTAAGTGCTTGAAACTGCAGTCCCTCAAATGGCCACGTGGTCCCATTAACTCCTATGTTAAAACGCCCAACTCTACAGCAAGAAAAAGAACATAATAGTCTCTTTTTTTTTTATCAATTTAAACTTAATTACAGCGTTAGCTAGTGTCATATTGACTGACACATGCTGAAACAGGCAGACAGAGCTTTCACCCGACTCACAAAACCTGACCTTTGATGATGCTGATGACTTTGGAGCATCTATCCTTTAAAATACTTTAACAGACCGTCCAGTCTGCAACACAGTTTTAAAACAAAATTTAAACTACACCAGTGTCATTGTGCAAAATTTGCAGTGGGCAGGCCCAGCATGAACAGACTAGAGCTGACCCCACTTAATCCACTTAATCCTGTCCCCAGTGGTGTCCATGATTCTGTTCTTTAAAAAAAAAACACCCAAGGACAACAAGAGTGGTGTTTTACTTCTCCTTTAATAGGAATGTTGTTGGTGGTGATAGTGTAACATGGTAGACTAATGTGCCTGTGTTAATTCAGCTCCATATTATTGTGTGAAGTTGCACTGGGTTGGGAGTGGTTTTGTGTGTGTGTGTGTGTGTCACATTTTTGGTGAGCCAATGGCTGGAATGGGGTTGGACTAATTAGAGGCAGGTGTACTTGATTGCACTGATACACTGGTCTACTTATAGCCCACACTACAAACACTGCTATGTTGTTTTGTCTCTCTGTGCAGGTATGTAATGTGATGAAATCAGATATGTTTGGGATGGATGGGTTTTGCGCTATGAATTTGATACTAAAGGTGTCGTTTTTGTCTCTCTGTGCAGGCCAGGGCCTATTATATGCCACAGCCTAAAGGCAGCAGAGTTGCAGAGGCTGGAGTGACCACTGGCTATATGCTTGCAGGGTGGTGGGTCTCCAAGGACAACTTCTAACCCTGTTAAAGGCAACACGTGGAGTGCAACTGGCCGTGTGGCATAGCTGCCTCTGGCCTTGGGACTGTGTGTTTTTATACGATTCATAAATGGGACACTGGACTGTTTTATCTTTTATCTCTTGATTTTTTTTGTCAATAAATTATCTTTTAGAATTTTATTGACTGTCATCTTTTTGCCCATGACTGAGACGGTTGGTCAGACCTAGAATCTTTCTTTGGGTGTGTTACAATAGTGGCTGGAGGGGAATCCTGTGAATTTTGCCTAGGGCCCCAAGAGGCTGGAAACACCAATATACAGTTTATGGGTGGACTTTGCTACCAAAACTTGCTAGTGTTAGCACATTACTTGCAATGCCCTCTTGTGCAATTATGGTTCACTCTGGCTCCAACAAAAAAAGACGTGTGTGTGTGAATGGGTGGATGACTGGATGTGTAAAGCGCTTTGGGGTCCTTAGGGGACTAGTAAAGTACAAATACAGGCCATTTATTTATTTATTTATTTATTTAATGTCAGCATTAAGACGTTAATGCTGAGGCTTCAAAATGACTCAAAATGTCAGTGATATACTTGGTTTGAAAAGTACTGCTGACTACTTTTATGTCATGATGAATTTCTGAATTTGTTCCACTCATCTTCAAAGCACCTTTACAGGTGTAGATATAATATAGTGAAAAAATAGTGAACCAGAATTTTAAAAAAAAATGCTCTATATAATTGTAATGAGTCTAATATGAGCATAAATTCCCATTTAGTGCCAAGGATGTTCCTCTTAATAGCTTTTATCAATCAAAATTATTGGTGGAGATCTAAAATAATTCAGAATATTCATATTTTGATACAAGTGAACTGTAATTCCACAATGTTAAAAAATTCTCACAATATAATGTCAATAAACCAAACTGCCTTTTTTGCTTGTAATGGAAATTGCGATTACCCAGCGATACCAATCAGTGACGAGGTCTCAGTTCGGTTTGAACTGATTAGATGAGAGAAAACACACCACAGGCTTTTCTACTCACTCTGTTGCCACACTAGAGGGACCCAGAGCGACGTTTGGTAGGAGACTCCTTTTGCTTCCACTTAGTGAAAGTAAAAAATAAAATAAATCAATGTTCTGCTCTTCGTGGGTTAACTTGAATAATTTAGTGAACTGAACATTTATCGAAAAAGCAAACACGGATGAGCCTCAGGGGGTCGATTTATTTGTTTGTTCATTTATTGCCCTGCAGTAATTTAGATGACTGTGCAGCAAGAAAACACTGCTTTTGTTTGCAGAGGATGAGCTGCGTATCTGCCCCTGAAAACAAGGTCAATTAGTGCCGTATGAATAAAGACGAAGATCCACAGCTGACACACGCCTAGAGACTGCGCGCTACGTCGGTGTGTGTATGGATATGTGTGAGGCAGCGAGTGAATGAGAAGGAGAGCAGGTGTACATATATGTGGTTTCTGTCTGTATTTGAGTTGGAGGTTAATTGGGGGCAGTTGTCAGTCACAGGAGGAGACATGTTGAACAGCGCTCAGCGAGCTGACACCACGACTGCCTCCTGATGTGACTTGTCTGTCAGCTTACTTTACGCCCCGCCGGTGATGCTGACACTCTCCATTGTGCATCAGTTAAGTGAGGGACGGACCCATGTGTCAGTCCGCTGTCTTATTTAGGGATTTGCCCTACGAGCATGTGTTTGATTTCACATGATTACACATGTGTTTGGCCTCAAATCTTGCCCTGTGCATCCAGGAATGAAACATTTGGTTAAGATTTGCTTTTGGACTTGTACCACCGATGATCCTCATCAGTTCAAACAAAGGAGCGCAGGTTGTAGATGACATAATCTGGCCTCAGATGAACAGAGGATGTGTTGCTTGAATCAAATTTCAAGCATGTTTCAGGTTGAGCTACCAAAACTGAAGCGATGCATGAGTTATGATATATCCATGCAGGCATCGCAACAGCGGGATGCCCCAAAGGAAGGCTGGCTACAGCTACAATTGAATGGATGTGCTCCTGATGACAGCGTGCCTCTGAAACGAGACATGAAATAAACAATACTTGGGTGGGTCTTTGTTTTTACAGTCCACTGCACGAGTGCGGCACACATTAATATGGCAGTGCCTTCATTAGAAAACTCATATCTGCCAGTATAAAAAGTCATAATAAAGGAAAAATGTTTCACTTGATAGCACCTTCTTAGATTATTTCAGGTTCATGAAGTTCCAACAGTGAAGGTGCTTCATATTTTAATGGGATCCTACTGATGAGCAATAAACTTGCGACTAAAAAGGTCAGAAATTCTGTTGCTCCCTGTGTTTGCCCGTCATTTTAAATCCATGGTCTCTTCAGACTGGAATAAATGTGCACTCTCCCCAGATTGATCTGAACATTGATAAACACAAATCAATATCCGAGTGAGCTCTGGCCTGGCTCTGTTTGATACAAAGTAGCATTTTCTTCAAAATGTCTCATTTTTAGATGCTAGTATTTTAACTAATGAACTAACAGCAGACCAAAATATGTAAAGTTAATCAATAGATCATCATTTACATTTTATCACCACTTCACTTTGATTCACCCCTTAGCTTTGAGCCTCATATTAACAAAAAAAGATACCCGGTTTTGCCAACAGTAAATCAGTACCATGTCTAAAACAAAACCTCAGCAGCTTGTCTTCTTTGTGCTTTTAGCAGACATCATTACCTCACCCATGTGCAAGTTTCTTTCCACTGGCGTCCTGAACTTTTTAGAATTGAAGATTTTAATCTCTTTTAAAGCTCGCCTGGGTCTGGCCCTAAGCTACATAACAGAACTATTGTCCCCATATGAGTCTGCTCGCAGCCTTTAAAGTGGGGCCCTTTTGGCTGTTTCAAAGTTGAGATTTAAATAGAAAGGTGACCGTGCTTTTGCCACCAGGGCCCCTCAGCTTTGAAATGACCCGCCTGAGTAGTTCGGGCTTGCAGAGTCAGTGACATCCTCTAAATCACTTTTAAAAAGCTAACTTCTGTAGACTTGCTTTTGAATGTATTATATGAGGCTTTTACCTTCTGGTTACCATCCCTTTGTTGCCCTGCTAGCTGCCCGCCCCAATCTTTGACTGATTTTATTTGTATTCCTTTTGCTTTTTATGTATCTGCATATTTGTGTCACTTTAATGTCTTTAACGTTTTTTTAGATTTAACATGACTTTTCTGTTTCAAAACCTATTTACTGTGGCATTTTGAATATTTTTAAAACTGACGTTATTTTCTCTTTTTTTAAAAAATTGACATATAAACCCATTAACTTCATTTTGTCCCTCTAGTTTTCCAAGCACAAATCCTCACAAGCTGTTGATGTGTCTGATTATAAACATGAGGTTCCATCTGACTGAAGGAAACTGACAATGTGTCAGTCGTGCTCGCTCTGCCCTGTCAGCATCACTTTCTAAACAAAATGAGCCCTTTGAGGGGTCCCTTGGAAATCCAGCCTGCAGCACTTTACTCACCACAGCAAGACACTCGGTAGTTACAAAATATCCCAGAGGGCCTCAGAAATGCATGTGTGGGTGCAACTCGACAGTTCTGTTTCCGTCATTAATGTCACATCAGCGCACACAATGTGCCTGTGCGTGCTTCAAACTGGAATACATTAGCACCTCGGCTTGTCGAGTCGTCCTGGATCTTCAGAAGGTGGAGTGGGGGTGGGATTACACTGTGCGAACATTTGTTCGTGTTTTTGTTATGATGCTTGATAGTTTACGACTGAGCGACAACTTCATCCTGGTCTCCAAGGCATGCAAAGCCACAAAAACAATTAACTATGACTATTTTTCACTCCGTTTTGGATCCATGCGTGTAAATTCTATTAAACAGCGACTTCTTCAAAGGCGTAATCCACATTTTCATATAAATGAATGTTTGCTCTGTTATTCTGGATCACTGATTGAAATTACACAGTTATTTACCGTCTCAGCTCATTTCTAGTCGATAAACGCTTTAACATATAACGCGCTGGGAAAACTAATCAGTAGAGTTCCACATTTCTGTCATCTCAAATTTCAGCAGACAAATAATT